AAACAGACAGATTTACAACACACTGTCCTCTCCATGAGCTGAAACGTGTGTCCAAATCACCATAGACATTTGCTTCCAGTGGCAATTGACTGATCGACTGATTGATTGATTTATAGAGCGCAATTTGGGGAGGGGCAGAGAGAGAGGGAGACACAGAATCCGAAACAGGCTCCAGGCTCTGAGCTGTCAGCACAGAGCCCGACGCGGGGCTCGAACCCAAGAACCGTGAGATCATGACCTGAGCCAAAGACAGACGCTTAACCAAATGAGCCACCCAGGTGCCCCTTGACTATTTTTTTTATACTTATAAAGTTTTTTTTTTAATATTTTTTTTTAATTTATTTCTATGAGAGAGAGAGAGAGAGAGAGAGACAGCGTGAGCAGAGGAGGGTCAGAGAGAGAGGGAGTCACAGACTGAAACAGGCTCCAGGCTCTGAGCAGGCAGTCAGCACAGAGCCCGAAGCGGGGCTCGAACCCACGAACCGCGAGATCATGACCTAAGCGAAAGTCGGACACTTAACCGACTAAGCCACCCAGGCGCCCCTATACTTATAAAGTTTTTAAACATTTCTTAAGTGTTTATTATTGAGAGAGAAAGAGACAGAGAGACAGAGCACGAGCAGGGGAGGGGCAGAGAGAGGGAGACACAGAACCCAAAGCAGCTGGAGGCTCTGAGCTGTCAGCACAGAGCCCGACGCGGGGCACAGACTCACAGACCATGAGATCGTGACCTGCGCCGAGGTGGGATGCTTAACAGATTGAGCCACCTGGGCCCCAACACTTGACTCTTTAAAATAAAAATAGGGAGCACCTGGCTGGCTCTGTCGGTGGAGACTGTGACTCTTGATCTCGGGGTGGTGAGTTTGAGCCCCACAGACGCAGATGTCACTTAAATAAATAAACATTTTTAAAAAGTAGCATTGTGCAGTGGACTATGTACGAGTAAAAAGGAAAACGGCAGCCCAGAGGAGACTGAGGGTAAAGGAAATTCTACTCTTGCAAAGTCATGGCGTTGATGAAGGGGTTGATATTGACTCTAATCCAATCTCGATGAATTCAGGCTGCAGACTGCTAACCCTCCACACTACCGGCGAAGTGCTCCTCGGATGCACGGCTGCGAACACAGCGAGGAAATAACGTCGGACTCTGATCCTACGTGGGGCCACCCAGGCCCTCAGGAGCAGCAGAAGAACAAAGCGCAGAAGGGGCACGAAGGAAACCGCAAAGCTGTGGCTTCAACCCAACCAGGCCGTGGTCACCGTGTGCGGGAGCTGACTGCCCCACAGGGGGCGGGGTCACCGCACTGAATGCCAGAGCCAGAGCGCGTGCCGGCCGCGTCCACACAAGCTCGCTCCGGCCCCAAACAGGTGGGCAGCAGAAGACACAGCATGCAAATACTAGGCACAAAAATGCACACAAAATGACACCCATTTCACACGAAGACAAACACACAATTATATCCTGAAACACAGGAATGGCCTCCAGGAGGCGGGGCTGGGGGCTGGGAGGGGGGGTGGAGGACGGGACTACAAAGGAACTAGTGTGTGAACACGAGGGGGCCTGGCGCGAACGGTGGGGGGGTATGATCAAGCGTCCCTGGCACAGCTGTGGAGAAAGAGAAAGCAATGAGGAGAGGAAGGGAGGGCAGGACAGCCGCCCTCACGGGATGGGCCCTGGTGACTCCTGGGGAGCCTCCCAATGCTGGGCATGGGGGGCTTTTGCTGCTTTCTCCGAAGGCAGAGGAGGAGGGGCAGGTTAGGGACCCGAGGCTTCAAGCTCATTACAGGAACCGCTTCGGGCCCAGGCTGCCTTGGCCTTGTGCGCTGCACCGCTGGGAAGCAGCCTCCGGAGGCTGGGGGCGGGGGGGCTGGAGGGAAGCCACCCTCGGCCACAGGGTGGGAGGCCCCATGTGTGGAGCGGGTCCAGCGTCGGCTGTGGGCAGGGACGGGGCGGGCTGGGTGTGCCCGCACTGAGCTCAGGACCGCGGGGAGCCAGGCCCTCACCGTGGTGATTCCCTACCACCCGCTTTCCAAAATGCAGTGCTTGCGGCCTCTTCTCTTAAAAGACAGGAGACCCCCGCCCGCCGCAGATCTGCAAGGCCTGGGAGCCCCCGAGCTGCCGCGCTTTCCTTCCCAGCCCCCCTTCCCTGTTTATTTCTCTGCCTCCTCTCTTCTTCCCCGTTCTACGTTGCAGACTTGGCTCCACGGTCCGTGTCGGAGAACTCGCCACCACAGACACGCCGGCAAACGCCGGCTGAAACCGGGAGTGTGCCCTCTCACAGCGACAAGTGCATCGTAGGGACGCGACCGCCCTCCGCGTGCTCGGTGTCACCAGCCGGTACCCACCAGGCCCGCAAGCTTCTCCGCACTTCCGTGTGACTTCAGGCCAGTGGCACGCGGCAGAGGACTGTGTGTCCCTCTGGCCCCGGGTGGGCGGCGAGGACTGTGTCCTCACACTCTTCCTCAGCCTCCGTTCCAGCCGGTGGAGCCGGGGCCCCGGGGGTAAGGGGTGCTGCCCCGCACGGTCCCCGTGAGATGTGAACCGACACAGGGTCAGGGCACCGTCCTTTCCGCCCCGGCGCCCAGCCCGTCCCGACTAAGCTTCGTGCTGGCTTCTTGTTCTTTTAAGTAGAAACAACGAATAATCTAATTCCAACACTAGTTGCTGAGAAGCCTTGTCCCCGTCGGACGCGCTGGCGACCGTACTGGACACGAGGACGGTCTGCGGGTGCGTCTGCGTCTGGGCTCTGCTCCACGCCCTCTGCGGCCACGCGGCCACCCTGGCTCGATTCTGTGTCTCCACGGTGGGTCTTGAAGTCAGGCCGTGTGAGCCCTTCCACTCATCCTTTTCCCAGACTGCTTTGCAGATCCCACGTGCCGAGCGTTTCCATATAAAGTTCAGATTTAGCCGATTGATGTTTTTGTACTATGCTTGTCTGATTTTGGTGCCAGAGGCATACTGGCCTCGCAAAATAAGGGAAACTGTCCCTTTCTCTATTTCAAGACTTTGTGTAACATTGACATTGTTCCTTCCTAGAATGTTCCGTAGAACTCACCAGTGAGATCACCTGACCCTGTATATTTCCTTATGGGATGTTTTTGTTAATACATTGAAATTATGTAATATATATCGGCTGTTCCAATTTTGAACACTTACTGGCTCACTTTCTTTATTGAGAAACATCTTCATTGAGACATCATTTGTAGCATGAGGTGTACGATTTGGGGGCACCTGAATGATTCAGCCGGTTGAGCGTCTGACTCTGGCTCAGGCCGTGATCTTGTGGTTTGTGGGTTCAAGCCCTGCCTCGGGCTGGCTGCTGTCAGCACCGAGCCTGCTTTGGATCCTCTGTCTCCCTCTCGCTGATGCTCCTTCCTTGCACTCTCTCTCTCTCAAAAATAAATAAGCATTAAAAAAAAGTGTGTGGTTTGGAAGTGTACAATTCAGTGGTTTTTATTATACTTGCCGAGTTGTGTAACCACTACCACTGCCAATTCCCAGAATACGGCTAATCCCCATTGTTCACGGTGGGATGAAGTTGCCACGATACTGAGTTAGCTAATACTGAGCCATTGTTCTTAGAGAAATGCACGCACGCAGGCGCTCACACACATGTGCATGCACACACTTTACATAGACGATAACTCTGTGAATCCAAAAAACCCAATTCATTCTGGTAGATTCTTTTTTACAGAAGAGAGAATGAGGTTCGGAAATGTTAAGTGAGCTCATCATTTCACCAACAGGTGCCAGAGCAGGGATTCGCACCCGGCGCACCTGCCGGAGCCCATCACCTGCCCTGCTCGGCCACCGTCTCCGAGGCAGGGCCTCACCCGGTTGGACCGCAAATCTGGCAACTCGGTCATTACTCACATGTCTTCAAACAACCAGGAAAACAAGCGGTGACTTTGGGATTACAGATGTTATCAAGTGAGCAAATTTGCAAAAACAGAGTCTCCAAGTGGGGACCACGAGTATTCTCAGCGCCCCAAGAAAGCCCGCACCCCATCAGCAGCCGCTCCCCGTGCACCTGGGAAACCTACAAAATTTTAACTTTTTCTGATTATGCATCTACTACATGCCCGTTATGAGACCTACTCTGTAGGGCACCTGGGAGTCAGGTGGTTAAGTGACCAACTCTTGATTTCAGTTCAGGTCATGATCTCGTGGGCTCTGCGCTGACATCAGGGAGCTGCTTGCTGTCCTCTCTCTCCCTCTCCCTGCCTCTCCTCTGCTTGCATGATCTTTCTCTCCGAATAAGTAAGTAGTAAGAAGGAAAAAGAGTGCGGCTCTTTGGTGGTGCCGCTGTCCCCGAGGGGAGGTTTTGGGGTTGTTGCTGCAATTCTCCAGTCCTCCCTGTTGTTCAGAACCCCCAGTTCTCCTCCAGCCCTGACAGAGGGGGGCGTGGGGCCCCTCCCTGGCAGCCCAGGCTCTGAGACCCATGACATTTGACTCTAAGTGTCCTCGGCGTGCACTTTCCTCCTGGCCGTGTCCAGAAGTCGGTCTGCGCTGATGCCAATCTGCTTGTTTGGGTATTGCCTGCCTGCCCTACACACACACACACACACACGTGCACACACCTACGTGGTCACGCACATGTGCACACGCACAGCCACTCACATGCGCACACATCCATGCACACTCCTGTGTACACACACGCTCATCCACATGTGCATGCCGTGTATACTCACGTACACAGCCACGCACACGTGTGCACACCCAGACGCAACGTACACTGCTCCTTACGTGTCCGTGTGCTGAGAAAGCTGGCGGAACGGGCTGCCCAACCTCCTGGGACAGGTGTCTGACCCGCCGTGCATCCCTGCAGCCCCCCCCCAGACCCCCTATAGCTTGGTTCACAGAGTGCGCAGGGGATGCAGCTCTGCCTGGGGGGAGCCTTCCTGAGGCAGCAGCTACAGGCCGTGCGGCCCTGTCCGGAGCTGAGCCGCAGCTGCCTGGTGTCCCGCTCGTCCCTTAAGCCAACAGAAGCCGAAGGGAAGTGACAGGGAAGTGACAGTCAAGCCTTTATTCACTTATGGCAACAGCACAGCAAGGGGCCAGAATGGAGGTACCGGCTCCGAGTTCCAGCCTCTCCCCCGGGGAAAGGCATAGTCGGGGCGGGTCATCCACTGGGATGCAGATGCCGCACAGCAGACAGAGCCCCAAACAAGAGGCTCCTGCTGCTTTCTGGACTTGGTGGGGCTTGGGGGACGGGGTGGGGGGCGGGGTGAGGTACTGAGTGGGAGTCGGAGTGGAGAAACGAGAAAGCCTTGGCCAAGAGCCCCCCAAGGAAGCGGCCTCCAGACGGAAACGCCCCGAGCGTGGCACTGAGCCTGGGGGGCCCTCCCCGAGAGACCTGTGGGGAAAGCCCCTGCGCTCGCCTGTGGTCAGGTGACCGATCCTGCACGTGACCCTGGCCTGGAGCCCACTCATCCTGGAACCCCCTCTCCAGCGGGGGGAGGAGGGCAGGGAGGAGGGGCAGCGTCTCCCCCTCCCACTTTCTGGGGCAGCCTGCATGTGGCGCAGCCGGGACCCCTGGTCACCCAGCCCGCCGAGGGCTCCGGGGGAGGCCTGCAGGGCGCCCACATGTGGCTGTGGCCCCAGATATGGCTGTGGCCGCCTGAGAGAGCCAAGGCCAGGAGGGGTCAGCAAAGCTCCTGCTCCCTGGGGTGGGAATCAAGGGTCACCGAGAGATGAGGTCGTTCTGCTCGAGTGCGGGACACCAGTCTGTGTCCGGGTAGAGAAGGCAGTGGACAGACTTAAACCTGGGAAGAGGACGGGGGGTCAGGCCTGCTGGAGGTGGGCGTGGCATCAGAGCCCGGCCCCACCACCCACTTACCGAGTGGGGTCCTGCTGCAGGCTGAAGCCACCCGCCACGTTCACCACGTTACGTGGGTTGTCGGGACCCCCGTAGCTCAAGGTGACCTGGATGAGGGGAGGGAGCAGGTCACCATCTCGGGACCAGCTCTTCCTGCCCCAGGACTCCAGCCGGGACAGGCTGCTCTGCCCTGGCCTCCCGGTCCCCTCTGGGGCAGGCTCGCAAACAGCCCGCAAAGGTGACTGGGGCTGAGAGGGGCGGCCCACACGAAGACGAGGCTGGCATCCGGCTCAGGAGGGTGGCTGGTGCCCATGCGGCAGCCCTGCCCGAGCCACTGGGCCCTCCCTGCGGCCCGGTCCACGATGGCACTCGCCCCCTGGGCTGCCGCCTGCCGCGCCGGCCCGTTCGCTGGGGAGAGCACGGCTGCTGCCCCTTCGAATGAGCCAGCAGACGCAGGGGCCTGGGTCCTAGCAGCCCAAACACGGGTCTGCGGCGACTTCGCTGCGGTGCTGGGGACCCTCGTGTTTCCAACCCAAGGTCCCCGAGGTGAGTGCGCTGGGAGCACCCAGCGGGAGCACCAGCGGGCTGTACCTGCTGTAGCACGGCGTCAGGCGGTAGCCTCTGCAGGTTCTCCAGGTGGGAGTGGAAGAGTGAGCTGGGCAGCAGGCGAGCGCCCAGGAGCCCCTCCACGATGTAGCCCACTGTGCAGTCGTCCGGCAGCCGCACTCGCTCAGCCGTGCTCATGAAGCTGCCCAGGCTGGTGGGTGGTCAGAAGGTCGGTCAGGGCCCCCTTGGTCCCCAGCACCACCACCTCCGGCCTCCTGGCACCCCCATGCCCTCCACTCACCTGGCCCAGGGGCTCATCTTAAGAGCGAGGCCTCTGCTCAGGCAGAACCCGGCCCCACCGGTAGCAAACCAGAACTTGACGGTGGTCACCTGCAGAGAAGAAAGACACCAGGCAGAGTATCGTCCTTGAACCACCCACACAAGTGGCACAAGAGCGCTTCTGCACTCCCGTCCTCGGGGCCCCCAGCTCCTCCCGCCGCACCTCCTAGCTTGCCCGAGCTCCTGGAGTGACCCCCCGGGTGGGTCAGACACCGGCCCCCCAGCCCTCTCGGCTGCCTCTGTCAGGCCGAGGACTCACAGTTCCACCTCCCTGGACCCTCTCGGCGGCCTCGATGGGGTGGTCGAGGCTGGGCCGCCCCAGGTAGACATCCTGGCTGGGCGAGAAGGTGGACAGCAGCTGGAGCAGGCCCTTGGGGTTCACGTAGTTGTCGTCATCCACATGGCAGAACCACCTGGGGGCAGTGGGGACTCTCACGAGGGAGGAGCTGGTGCAGCTGGGGGCCTCCACCCCCTGGCCCAGCCTCAGCCCTGGGCTCTCCAAGGGGGCCCCGGGGCACGGCCAGCACATACTTGCGTCCAGACTCGATGAACTTGTCATACTCCACTGACATCTTGCAACACAGCGCCTGACGGGTGTGCACGGCTGAGCAGTTAGTATTGATTACGTGACTGCCTGTCGGGTTGGAGAAACGGGGATGCATGGGGGCTGGGGTGAGGCCTGCTGCCGGCCCACCCCAGACATCAGGGCAAAACGTGGACACCCAGCCGGCCTTGCCGTCTTGCTCTGCCCAAGGGCCCAGGCCGGGTCCGACAGCCCTAGCCTGGCCTCACTTGCTGACAGTGCTGGGCTGGGGAGGGCACTCACCTCCCTGGAGCTGTAGCTCGGGGTCGTCCCCATCGGTGAAAATGAATGTCTGCGGAGAGACAACCTGTGAGGCCCCCGGTGGACGAGGATGGAGCTGCAGAGCCCAAGATGGGCCTGGCCAGGTTGGGGTTGGGCTGGGGGAGAGGGGAGGGCGATCCCCAGCACCTTCTGGTGCTCCCACCGGATGTTTCTGGGGTCTCAGAACAGTGTTAGCTGGGAGAATCCACCCAGGTCTGAAGCCTGGGAAAGGGTGGCGGGGGGAGGGGGGGGCCTGGGTCCCCACAGATTCAGAGCGAGAGTCCGGCCATCACTCGGGCCACGGCAGTGGGTAGCGGGTCCTGGGGATGGGGCGTCAAGTCGCCGGCTGAGGGGCAGTCCTTGAGGGGACAAGGGGTGCCAGGGGTCGCGGCTACATCGGGATCCCGGGTGTGGGATCCCAGGGATCAGGGGTTCGAATGCGGGGATCCAGGGGTGAGGCCCACCTGCTGGCGGGCCCGGGAGATCCAGGTGCGCAGCAGCAGCCCAAGGCGTGACCCGTGGTTCTTCTGGGTGGTCTTGACCGCGATGAAGACGTCGTCCGGCCGCAGGCGGGGGGCGGTGGCGTGTCGGGCAGGGGGCGCGCGCGGGCCGGGGCCCGAGGTCGGGGCCGGGGCCGGGGCCGGCGCGCGGGGCAGCGGCAGCGGCAGTAGCAGCAGCGCGGCCAGGGCCGCGGCCAGCGCGAGGCAGGCCCGGCACAGCGCCCCCCGCGCACGGCTCATGCGGCTGCGGGACCCGCCGGCTCCGCCCGAGCCAGGCCGCACCGCGGCCCCTTTAAGAGCCGCCCCGCCCGCCGCGAGCCGGAAGCGCTGCCCCGGAAGCGGACGGCGCTGCCCCGGAAGCGGACGGCGAGCCGCGGCGGGGTGGGCGAAGATGCCGCTGCCGGTCCAGGTGTTTAACTTGCAGGTAACGAGCGGCGGCCGGCGGCCCCTCCGCACCCCCCATCTTTCCCGCCGCCGCCGCCGCCGGGCCGGAGCCGAGCCCCCGCGCGGCCTCCCCTCCTCGCGGCCCGGCGGCCTCGCGCAGGGTCCCCGCCGTTGGCCCGGCAGGCGCGGCCGGGCGCTAACGCTCTTTCTCCCTTCAGCAGCAGGCCAGCTGTGTGTCAGGGTCGGGGGGTGCAGAGAGTCAGGACAGAATGAGGGATAGCCCGGCCCCCAGCTCGGCCTCCTCGTCAGTGACAGATCTGTACTGCACCCCTCACAGCAGTAGGTCAGACTTCTTCCTGCCGGGCACGGCCGGGGACTTCAGCCTGAGCGCCAGCCTGTCGGCCTGTACGCTGCTTTATGAGGTACCTTCCAGGACAGGGGGCCCAGGAGCGAGCGAGCGAGCGCGGGAGGGGGGCAGAGCCCCGCCCGCCGGGCCGGCCGGCCAGCGCAGGAGGGTCCCCGAGGTGACGCCTCCCCGCCCCCCGCTCCGCGGGCTCCGGGCCCTGCCGCCGCTGCAGCCCCCGCGGTCGGGGCGCTCCCGGGCGGAGGCCGCGCCCGCTTCTTCCTTAGGGCTCGGAGGAGGCAGCGTCAGGACGGCGGCTGGGAACGAGCAGGGAATTGGGGGGGGGGCAGTGGCGCCCCGCTGTCCTCTTCCCGCGCCGGAGCTGGGCGGTTAACGTGGCCGCCGGGCGCTGCCTGGCCACCAGCCGCCAGCCTTCGCCGGGGCGGCGTTGGACACGACCTGGGAGACCGGCCGGGGGGGGAGGGGCAGGGATGGCCGGCTTTCCCCGACAGGATCCCGCCGGGGAGACAGCACGGCGGGCAGAGGTGAACTCAGGGCACAGTGAGGGCTCCTCTCCCGACGGGGGCGGTCCGGCTCAAGGTGCCAAGGTGCCCGCCCGTGTTGCAGGGGGCCGTGGAGCCCATGCAGATTGATGTGGACCCTCAGGAGGACCCGCAGAATGCACCTGATGTCAACTACGTTGTGGAGAACCCCACCCTGGTATGGAGTCTGGGGGCGCTTCCGGGGTGGGCAGGAGGGGACTGACCCCCCACGGGAGGCCCTGCCCGGGCTCCCCACTCTGGCCGTATTTTCCGCTCACCTAGGAGCCTTTGGGCTGTTCCGCTCCCCACTTAAAAAGGGTGGTGTCCAGCTGGAGACCATGCACCCCACTCCTCTCCCACATGGGCAAGCCCACGGCCCAGGCTGCAGTGCACCTTGCCTCACACTGAGGACAGGTCTTCCTGGGGCCCGACCCACAGAGCACTGCTCCTTTCCTCCCCAGCTCGGGGACTGGCAGGAGCGAGGGGTGCCCTTCTGGCTCTGGCGGTGCACCCCCTCAGTGCCCCGGGGCGGAGCTCTACCCCACGTGGCCTTTTCTAGAACTGGCTAGTGGTCTGTCTGAGGCCCACATATGCGTGAGGCCTCTGGGAAACGGGAGGAGGGTCCGCATTCGGGTTCTGCCCCTGCCTTTCCTGCCGGGGCTTGGCCTCTGGGTTCCACCTCTCACAACCTCCGTCCACTCCGCACACCCGCCCCAGGATCTGGAGCAGTACGCGGCCAGCTACAGCGGGCTTATGCGCATTGAACGGCTGCAGTTCATTGCTGATCACTGCCCCCCGCTGCGGGCAGAGGCCCTGAAGATGGCCCTGTCCTTTGTGCAGAGGACCTTCAACGTGGACATGTATGAGGAGATCCACCGGAAGCTCTCGGAGGCCACCAGGTGAGGGCAGGGTGGGGGCCGAGGGTGGGGGCCGAGGGTGGGGGCGGGGGCTGGGCCCCGGGGGCCACAGTGGGAGCTGGCGCTGGGGCCTGGGAGGGCAGGGTGGCGGCGGGCACCAGATGTCCTCCTCGGGAGCAGCCCAGGCAGGGGGCCCTTCCTGTGCCCCTGGGAAGTGACATCACCCCTATGAGGACACTTTAGGAGGAGCACTGCCTCACCACGGCCGCCTGGCCGTCCTTGTTGAAAAGCCAGGCAGGGTGGTAAATGGCCAAATGGTCTAGGTCCTCACTCTCCCTGCTGTGTGGCCGTCACTGTGTTGTCCTGGTCTATTCTGTGTGCATGTGACACGCAGTTATTCTGACGTCAAGCTTGAGATGACAGTTTGCTCCTCTGGTCTCGGCGTGGCTGCATGACTCTCTTCCCATTGGGCGTCCCCACCAGGCTGTGGGGACGCCCCCTTAGCGGCTGGGCCAGAGCTTGGGGGGAGGCCGGGAGGCCCCCCGCGCACGCGCATTGGGCCCTGATGGCCAGGTCCCCCGCAGGGAGCTGCAGAGTGCGCCTGACAGCGCCCCCGACAGTGGTGCGGAACCACCGCCCCTCGACACGGCCTGGGTGGAGGCCACGCGGAAGAAGGCCCTGCTGAAGCTGGAGAAGCTGGACACGGACCTCAAGAACTACAAGGGCAACTCCATCAAGGAGAGTATCAGGTGCTGCTCGGGGCGGGGGCGGGGGCAGGCTGGGCAGGCAGCTGGGCTGCGTGGGCCTGGGCCCAGCGCGCTCATGTCTGGGCCCACAGGCGCGGCCACGACGACCTGGGTGACCACTATCTTGACTGTGGGGACCTCAGCAATGCCCTCAAGTGTTACTCCCGGGCCCGGGACTACTGCACCAGCGCCAAGCACGTCATCAACATGTGCCTCAACGTCATCAAGGTGCGCCCTGCTGCGGTTGGGTGGGCGCGGGGAGAGGCCGCAGGGCGCATCGCGCCTCAGCCGGCAGGGGGCGCCCCCGGGCTGAGTCCACCCCACCCGCCCACCAGGTCAGCGTCTACTTGCAGAACTGGTCTCACGTGCTGAGCTACGTCAGCAAGGCCGAGTCCACTCCTGAGATCGCCGAGGTAACGCTGACTCCGCCCCCGACCTGCCCCGGGACCCCTGATTCCCGCAGGCCTCCTCCTCCGCAGTCTACCCTTGCCCCTCTGAGGCCGGATAGGGCCCAGGAAAGGACAAGAGCGTGGGGGGCTTTGGTGGCTCATGGTGTTCGACTTTCCCCTGCAGCAGCGTGGAGAGCGGGACAGCCAGACCCAGGCTATCCTCACCAAGCTCAAGTGTGCCGCAGGTGAGCTCTGGGGCGGAAGGACACCACCGCTGACCTCAGCGCTGTGGGTGGCCTGTGCCTGCCGAGTGTTGAGTCTCACAACCTGGGTCAGGGCCCTCGGACACCTATGGCGCCAGGTGATGCCTGCCTCGCCCAGGTTCTGCTAGGGTGCGGCAGATGGGCAGAGGCCCAGGCGTCGCTCTCAGCTGCTCTCGCTGCTGGTCCCCTGCTCAGCCCGGGAGGGGTCAGCCTCGGAGGCCTTTGCAGGAGTGACCACACCTGTGCACAGCTTCCCCGGGCCCTTGAGTGAGGAGAGTGCCGAGTTGGCACCCTGTCCCGGACAGAGGAGCGCCTGGGATTGGGGAGGCTGGGGCCCGTTTGCTGATGGCCCTGTGAGGCTCTGAGGCTCTGGCAGCTCCCCTTGGGCACCAGGCTTCATTCTACCTTCCTACGCCCCCCACCCTCCCCCAGGCCTGGCCGAGTTGGCTGCTCGAAAGTACAAGCAGGCAGCCAAGTGCTTTTTGCTGGCTTCGTTCGATCACTGTGATTTCCCTGAGGTGAGGAGTGCGAGGGTCTCGGGAGGAGCCCTTGCTGGGACTTGGGAATCAGGGTGAGGGCTTGTGGGTTGGGTTCTTTCCCCCGGGGTATCCCCCAGCGGAGGCCTGGGTAGGTTTTCGGGGAGGGGCAGGGCAGGGGTGACCCAGTCTCGCCTCTGGGCCTCCCCCCCATCGAATTCTGCCCTGACCGTCAGTGACCAGTTGGCTCTGGATGCCCTTTCTTGCCCTTCAGCTGCTTTCCCCCAGCAACGTGGCCGTTTATGGCGGCCTGTGTGCCCTGGCCACCTTTGACCGCCAGGAGCTGCAGCGCAATGTCATTTCCAGCAGGTGCGTGCGGGGTGGGTGCTGGTCCCGCAGCCAGGAGGCCCGGCCCTTCCCAGGAGCCTGAGGGCTCCCCCTCCCTCGGCCTGCGGAGCGGGTGGGCAGGTGCGGGGCCGGCTCTTAGGGTCTGCACCTGCAGCTCTTTCAAGTTATTCTTGGAGCTGGAGCCCCAGGTTCGGGACATCATCTTCAAATTCTACGAGTCCAAGTATGCCTCGTGCCTAAAGATGCTGGATGAGATGAAGGTGAGGGACTTGCCAGGTGTGGAGGGCGGGCAAGGCCGAAGGCCTGGGGCAGCTGGTGGCTGACCAGGTCTCTTCCCCAGGACAATCTGCTCTTGGACATGTACCTGGCTCCCCACGTCAGGACCCTCTATACTCAGATCCGCAACCGTGCCCTCATCCAGGTAGATGTGAGGGGACAGAGCGGAGGTGGGGTGCCCGGCCCGGGTCTGGGGCCGCAGGAGGCTGACGCGCCCTCTGCCCCGCAGTACTTCAGCCCCTACGTGTCGGCTGACATGCACAAGATGGCCACAGCCTTCAACACCACAGTGGCGGCCCTGGAGGACGAGCTGACGCAGCTCATCCTGGAGGGCCTCATCAACGCCCGCATCGACTCCCACAGCAAGGTGGCCGTGCTCGGGCCAAGGCCGTGAGTGCAGGGAGGGAAGCCCTGAGCCCCAAGGGACCCCGCTGAGCCCCGTGCCTCCACAGATCCTGTACGCCAGGGATGTGGATCAGCGCAGCACCACATTTGAGAAGTCCCTGCTGATGGGGAAGGAGTTCCAGCGGCGTGCCAAAGCCATGATCCTGCGGGCGGCGGTGCTGCGTAACCAGATTCACGTCAAGGTGAGGGCGGGGCGGCCCGGGCCTGCGGGGGGGGGGGGGGGGCACAAGTGCGGCTGCGGAGCTGAGCAGCCGTTGTCTCCGCCCCAGTCCCCTCCCCGAGAAGGGAGCCAAGGCGAGCTGACGCCGGCCAACAGCCAGTCCCGGATGAGCACCAACATGTGAGGGCCCCCGCGGCCCCCAGGACGGTGTGTGCGCCTGCCGCCTCCCTCCTCCCCGGACTCGGACACGTGGGCCTCCTGGCGCTCTTTCGACACTTCTGGAGGTGCCACCTGTGACCCCCCCCCACTGTTCCCCCCCACCTGCTGGGGCTTCCACATCCAGCCTCCGTGCTCCCTCCACCCTGCTGTGCCCTGTGCTGGGGGCCCTGGCCACACGGACTGCTGGTCCAGGCCCTTCCGGGAAGACCCACAGGACTCCCCTCTGCGGGCCCAGAGCCCCTCCCGGCAGCACGGCCTCCCTGCCCCTGCGGATGGTCCCCTCCGGCCATTAAAGGACAGTCTGAGAACACCCCCGGGTGCCGTTCCTTCCTGCCTAGACGGCTTTTAAGGCTCCTCCAGGCACAGACCTTGCTTCCCTGGGCTCCGTCCCTCAGCCAGGCAGCGTGGCGGGGAGGGGGCGAGGTTTCCCACACCGGAAGGTTCCTCGTTCCACCGGCTTCCCCCGTCCCCACACACGCTCTCCGGCCCTCCGCACACATCTCTGAAACGATTTATTGTTCACTGCTGAACACACACGTTGCTAGGAGGGGGCAGGTCCGGCCTGGGAGCCTGCTCCCTGGTGCAGCATTTCCGGGCTCCCAGCGCAGGTGAGGGCAAGACCAGCTCATCCTTCCGTGTCGAGTAGCGGGAGATTCCCTGAGTAAAGGCGATTCCTCCAGCGGGGCGTGATGAGGCTGCAGTGGCAGCCCTGGGACTGGGGGGGGGGCACTGTGCGTCGGGCTCTGGCCGCCCTTCAGGCCAGGGCGCTGCCCACCACCTCGGGAAAGCTGCCTGGGTCCCCCGACCCTGTCGGCTGAGGCTCCTGCAGCCGGGACTGGGCTCCCTTCCAGGCCAGAGACTTCTCCAATTTGGTTTTAAAAAGCAATCCGTGACCTGGCAGAGGAGCAGGAAGAAGTGGGGCTCAGGAGGCCAAAGGCTGCACTGTCCCCAGAGGGGACACGCGGACGGCAGCAGGTGCCCCTACCTGGGCAATCCGCGGCCTCTCTGAAAGCTCGCTTCTTGCAGCAGCCCCGGCACAGGTTGAACACACATCTGTTGCCCTGGACGCCAGGAGAGCGGGTGAGCCTGGGGCAGGGGGGGCCACTCCCGCAGGGACCCTGTGAGGCGGTGTCAGCAGGGGACCACCCTGCCCGCTACCTGCCGAGGTCGCGCTCTGCCCCGGGCAGCAGGGCCAGACTCACCTTTGGGTTTCCACACTGGTCACACTTCGCGTATTTTGCTGAGAAAGGAACAAAAACCTGTTGGCTCGGCAGGCGAACCCATCCCCCAGCTGCCGCTTCCTCCCCCGAGTCCCGGTGGGGGTTCCTGCTCCCTGGGGCCGGCCAGGCAGCGCGAGGGGCGCAGGATGCAGTGGGCCCCGGGGCTGCCGGCAACCTGCGGCCCACCGGCCCAAGGACCCGCCCCCCTCCTCTGCGCGCTCGCCACCAGGCGGGCCTTCTCCGGAAGGCGGCCCCTCCACGGCTCTCCTCCGGCCCGGGCAGCGGGAACGGCTCACGCTTCAGCGACGGGTCGAAGGTCTTGTGGGGGTTCCTCAGCTGCTTCTTCTGCTTGTTCTTGGACAGGACGTCTGTGCCCCCCTCCTCCTCCTCCAGGGCCCGCTTGCTGCGGGCTCCCCCGTTCTCCCTGCTCCCTTCCCTGGGCCTGAAAGGGAAGGGTGGTGGGCAGAGCCGGGGGCACTTGCGAGAGATGACGTGCCCACAACCCTCTGGTGGCCCCAGCAGCTTGGCTCTTGTGCCGCCGCGGCTGGGCCTGGGGGGCCACAGATGGCAGCCAAGCTCACCTGCAAAACCCCAGGGGAAGCGCAGGGGTGTCAACCTGCTGACCCCAGGACAGACACACCCAGGATTGGAAACAGGAGAGAATCCCCTTGTGGAGAAAAAACGTAAAACCGCAGCACCCGCCGATAGAAAAGAAGCAAGCACGACACCAAGAGATGGGACTGAGCCGCCAGCACCCTCCGCTGAGGCCGCGAAAGGCAGGCCAGGGTCTCGCAGCCCTGTGCCCCCCACCCCTGCCCCTGGGCTGCTGTGCAGCTCACCCTGGCCGGAAATAGGGCTGGCAGATCCAGTGGAAGAAAGGCAGGCCGCCCGCTGGCTTCTCTCCCTCCTTCTGCCTGGACATATCCTCCTGCAAAGCCCAGAGGGCCCTTCGTCACGGAGCCCCCCCCCCCCCGCTCCGGCGGCCCTGCCAGCCCCAGCACCTGCCTGGCAGCGCAGCTTCAGCTCCTGGCTCACGGCCGCGATGCCCTCCAGGGTCTTCACCTTGGCGAGTTCCTCCCGAAGCTGCTGATGCACCTGCAGCCTAAGGCAGGGGCTCCGTCACACGCGGCTAACACCCCCCCAACCCCCGTCCAGACAGCCCACCCCCTTGGGACCCCCAACACCCCAGGTGGGGTCCAGAGCTGGCGGGGTGTGCCTCGAGAGCGTACTCACGTGTGGTGCCACAGCTTGAAGAGGTGGGCCCGGACGTAGGACAGGGGGCAGGGGTGCTGCCGCACGATGTCCAGATATTCCTCGGCCAGCTCCCACACGGCAGGGCTGCGGCCCTCAAACAGGGCAGGGTTGTGCAGGTTGCCCTCTGCGGGTGGGGTCGTGGGCTTGAGGCTGCAGGCACTCCCGTGCCCAGAGGGCCGCCCCCTCCCATGCTGAGGTCAGCCTGTGAGCAAGGCCAGCGGGGGGGCCCACAGGGTCACGACCTCACCTGCGCTCATGACCCCCTGCACTCCCGTGTCCTGGATGCAACGCTCCACGTCCTGCAGGCACTGGATGTTCCCGTTGGCAAACACAGGGATGGTTACTGCCTTCCTGTCGGGGGCAGGGGGCGCATGCTCAGAAGAACCCGGTTCCCTCACTTTCAGGGGCCGCACCCCAGCCAGTACATGCTCCTCTTCCTGCTACAAGGCTCCCTACTGGCCCTGGTCACCTCCCCCATTACCCCCCACTGGTGGCGGCCGAACGGCTGGGCACCTGGTCTCGGGGCCAGGCTGCATCCCCACCCTGGGTCTGCCCTCTGTGTCCACTCACCGCACAGCCTTGATGTGCTCCCAGGACGCGGTGCCCGACAACGGCCCCTTCTGCTCCTTGGTGCGCCCGTGCACGGTCAGCAGCTGGGACACAGCAGCGCCCAGGCTCTATCCCACTTGTGGCCGCAGACCCCAAGCCGGCCCCAGGGGAACCCCCTCGCTTTGGCATCTGCTTCCCACGCAGAGCGGAGCAAAGGCAGCCTTGCATCCGGTTCGCGCACTGTCTCCGTCCCCCGGGTCGAGGCTGGCAGGTCGCTCCCCCTCCCCCCCCATGTCTCCCACGGACCCACCCAGGAGGTGGAGCCGAGAGGCACAGCCTTGTTTGAGGAGGGCCAGTCTTGGAAGTGACAGCACCCTCGAGCCCAGCTCCAAACGCCTGAGGGAGGGCCAGGCGGGCAACCACCTGACCTCAAGGCTGCTGGCAGGTACAGAGAAGTGAGCTGGGGCTTGTCCACCTTCTACCCTCCTCAGGTCCCACCTGACGGTTGCCAGGATTCCAGTTCACCCCCCAGAGTTTGCTCAAGGGGGCTCCTGGGGTCCAGGTGCAGAGGACACGGGGCCGGGGAGTGGTGCTCGGCCCCCTCACCTGACAGCCGGCCTTCTCCAGCATCTGAGCGTACTTCACGGTCTTGTCAATCTCTGGGAAGACACGGATTTTGCAAGTGACGGGGACAGAGAGTTTCTCATGTGCCAGCAGAACTGGGAAAAAGAAGTCGGTTTCTGAGAAGCGTGGTGTTCGCCCGCACGCAGGCTGCGGGGAGCTGAGACCACCAGGGCACGGGAAGGCGGGGACCCCTCCCCCTCTCCCTCTGGCACCTACGGGTCTGGCTCGACTTAGGGCTTGTCCTGCAGCAGCGAGCGCACCAGGACGGGGACTTGCCAGCCAAGGTCTCAGAGCTGCTTCACCAACCCTGCCCCAGCCTGACGCCCCGCCTACACCCGCAGCCAACTCACTCATTCTCTGGAGCAGGTCCCACTCCTCCTGCAAGAAAGCCCCGTAGTGACCTGCACAAGACAGGCATGGCCCTTGGCACCTCTCCTCCACCCCCACCCCCCCACGGCCACACAGGGCACAAGCACCACCGCCTTCCCCCCAGCCATCCGAGGGGGCGGCAACAATCACGGGGAGGAGCGGTTTCTCAGCATCACACCTGGGGGCTGCTGCCCAGGATCCGCCCCTCCCCCAGCTTCTGACCAGCCAGCAACCCCTTGGGCTCAGTGAAGAAAGCGTGAGCCCCACGCCGGGCAGCCAGTGTAACCTTTCAGCGACGCATGTTTACCCAGATGGCGCCCAGTGACCCCCCCGGGGGACTAAGGGAAGGGATTATCCCGGGAGCCAGCAGAGCCCCGTCCCTCCAGCGCTGGAGAAGAGCCGCCTCCAGAGGGAGGAGCAAACAAAAGGCTGGGACGCCACCAGAGCTGCCCCCGCTGTGGGAGCAGGGTCAGCCACACCCTGGCCTCCATCCGGGCACCCTGTGGCACCGAGCCTCACCCCAGCCTAATGCGGGCGCTCAACACAGGAACCCAGAACAGAACTCACCTCGCTTGGCTATCATCTGCGGGCACCCCAGGTTCAGGTCGATGGCATCACAGTAATCCTGGGCCAGGAGAGCCGCCTGGACAAACACTTCTGGGTCATTGGCACAGAACTGGAAAACAAGGAAGTTGCCTCGAACCTGAACCAGGCCCCACGGGGGTCCACACCTGACCCGGTGGAGACAGCGTCCCAGGGTTGCCTGCAGGACGTCACCCCGTCCTGAAAGTTTACATATGGTGCGTCCGCAGGCCACAGGAGGGGGAACACAGAACCACGTAATTTGTCTCAACTGTAACAAGGCTGGGATCACGGACTCTGGACACAGAGCAGGGCACCTTTCCCAAAGACCTGACAGCGCGCGGTGACAGGGCCGGTGGTGCGGTGTCGGGGGCTTGAGTCTTCCAGGGCGCCCAAGGGGTCTCTAACAAACCCGGTGGGGTGGACCGCGGAGACCCGCAGCAGGTGCCCTTGGAAGCCCCGCCCTCCTCTCGGATCGGGAGGTCCCGCCCTGCGGCCCACCTGCACGATGAGGGGCCGGTCCTCGGGGCACACTTCGCAGTACAGGTTGTCCTTCCGGTAGTTGGCGTCGCGCACGAAGACCTGGGCGTGCAGCATGGGCGTGTAGCAGAGCTGGGCCCCGTGCCGGCGGCTCAGCAGCCTCCAGGCCAGCTCGCTCTGGTCCACCATGGGCGCCACGACATGGCGAGCGCCCCCCAGGGTGCGGCTCCAGAACTCGAAGCCCTGCAGCTTCGGCATCGTCCGCACACTGAAGAGGGAGACAGGCGGCTCAGCCGCGGGCGGCGGGGCGCCACTCCCGGGGGCGGCCCTGACCTCGCCGAGGCCGCTTCTGCGCAGCCCGATGGCCACGCACTTGGAGCCCCGCGCTGAGGCCCGTCCCGCCCGCCCCCCTCCTCACAAAGGCGGCTCCTGCTCCGCGGGAAAGGGCGGGAAGGCTCCTTCTCCGGCCTGGCTCGGCCGTGCCGGCCACACACCCTCGCAGCAACTGACCCCGCCAGCTGGCGGCCACGCGGCCGAGTCGGCCCCGGGGGCCGTGGGGCCAAGCCCCGGGCGCCCACTGCGCGTTCCCAGAGACCCTGAACCCCCGGGGGGAAAGTCCCCAAAAAGGCCGGGGCGCCGCGGCGTCAGCCGCACGACACCTACCTGTGCCGGGGCCCTCTCGGACCGCCGCCAGGGCCTCTGGGAGCCAGGGCGCGGCGTGGGCTCCCTCCGGGCCGTCAGGCCGCCACGCCGGGGCCGCCGCCCGGCCCAGGGCTCCGCGCCGGGGCCGCCGGAAGGTGCCTCCTCCAGGGCGGTCCGGGCGGCCCCGCGGTGCGGCGGGAAACGCGTCCCCGCGAAACCGCGCCAGGCCGCGATGCGGCCCGCCCCGCGAGGTCGGGGGTCAGAGGCCGGAGGTCGACGGGGCCACGCCACGCCTCGCTCCGGCGGTGCGAGTTGGCGCGCCGACCGCGGGCGCCGGGGCTCGGCCCGGCCGGCTCCCGCTTTCGCCTCCGAGCTCCGCCTCTCTCTTCCCCAAAGGGGCCGCAAGCCCCCGGCCCGGTCCTGCGCACCGCGCCCTCCGCAAGCCCCCAGGCGGCCGGAAGTGCTGCTTTGCGCGAGGCCACACCCCGCACTTCCGGGCTCAGGCGGCGCGCGAGGCTAAGCCGCGGGAAACCCGGGGCGTCCGCCACGCCGCGCACGCGCAGAGTGCCTCGCGCCGCGGGGTCTGGCGCAGGCGCACCGAGAAGCGCCCGCCTCCGTCGCCGGGGCCGGGGAGAACCTACCTGCGAGCCTCCCCGGGGCCGGGCCTGCCTCCTGGCGGCCCCGGGAAGCCGGCGGCCCTTTCCTGAAGGAACCCTGTGGCCTCACGCTTCCCTGCTCAGCGGGGAACCCGAACCTGCCGGTGCGGCGCGAGCTCGCGCCCCGGCTCCCCGCCGTGCACGTGCGCACAGGCCCGCCGTTCCGCCCGCAAGTGTCTCCGCATCCGACGGCCAAGGGTGAAAGAAGAATCGTAACAAACGTGAAAACTGAGTTAACACACCTGAGAATAATAACACCAAATATCCACCCCGTGTCGGCCGTGGTCCCGCTGGAGCGAGCGCTCGAAGGCACCTGGCCTGACGAGATGTGCTGTGTGACAGACACGCCAGGTTTGGGGCGCCCGGGGGCTCAGTGGGTCAGCGTCCGACTTCGGCTCCGGTCACGATCTCACGGTTCCTGGGTTCGAGCCCCGCGTCGGGCCCTGTGCTGACTGCCGGCTCGGAGCCTGGAGCCTGTTTCAGAGTCTGTGACTCCCTCTCTCTCTGACCCTCCCCTGCTCACGCTGTCTCTCTCTCTCAGAAATAAATTTAAAAACATTAAAAACAAACAAATAAAATACCCAGTATTCAATAAGGTGTTGTAAGACATTGGAAGACCCGAGAAAACTTGAGACCTGTACAGATACTGTAAATTAACAGTACGCTTCTAGGTAAGCAATGGGCCAGACAAGGAATCAAATGGGAAATTTAAAAAAGTGAATGAAAATGAAAACAAAACTAAAATTTATAGGATACAGCTAAAGCAATTCTTGGAACAAAATTTTGAGCTATTAACTTCTACATGAGAAGACAAAGATCTCAGATCAATCACCTAAACTTCCACTTTAAGGACTATTAAGAGCAAACTAAATCGAAAGCCAGGAGAATAATGGACATAATAAAAAATAGAACAAAAAAAATAAATGGAAAACAGAAGAGCAATAGTGAAAACACTGAAACCAGAAATTGGTTTCTTTTTAAAGAATCAACAAAATTGACAAACCTTTAGCTGGGCCGGTGGAGAAAAAACAGAGAAGACACAGACGGACAGAATCAGTGTGTTATCACGGAAATGAGCACGGGAAGGGAGGGCTGAGAAAACACAGAGAAGTTCGATAAAACTGACGAACGCCCAGAAAGATAAGATCACTGAAACCGACCCAAAAATAAATTAGGGGCACCTGGGGGGCTCAGTTGGTTAAAGCATCTGACTCTTGATCTCGGCTCCGGTCATGATCTCACGGCTTGTGAGTTGGAGCCCCGAGACAGGGTCTGTGCTGACAGCTCGGAACCTGCTTGGGATTCTCTCTCTCTGTCTCTCTCTCTCTCTCAAAATAATAAACTTTAAAAAATAAATAATAAATATAAAATCCAGGTAGATCTATAACAACTAAATACATTGTATTTGTAATTTAAGATCTCCCACAAAATAAAAGCCCCGGCTTCGGTGAGTTCTAGGAAATATTTAAAAATTCACACGAATCGTCTACAGACTCTTCTAAAAAAAAAACTGAGGCGAGAGCACTACCCGACTCGTTCTGTGATGCCTGGAGTGTCCCGATGTGAAAACCAGTCAGAGGCCGGGCACTAACATCCTTCACAAGCACAGAACTGCAGGAGCACACGTAAGACGTTTTGCACACGGCGCCCCGGGTGCAAGGTGGACTTGCAGGCCGGTCAGCCGCTGCCCCACACGTTAAGGGAGGTGCGCACAAGCACACGGCGCTCGCAAAGAGTCCGACGCAATTGACAAAATCCAACACCTACTCAAGATTAAAAGAAAAAAAAAAAAGCCCTTGATGAACCAGGAATAGAGGAGAAAGAGAGAGGAGCTTCCTCAACCTGATCAAAAGTATCTGCAGGGCACCTGCGTGGCTCAGTTGGTTGGGCGTCTGACTTGGGGTCAGGTCATGATCTTCCAGTTTGTGGGTTCGAACCCCGCGTTGGGCTCGGTGCTGACAGCTCAGAGCCTGATGCCTGCTTCACATTTTGTGTCTCCCTCTCTCTGTGACTTTCCCCTGCTCGAGTCTGTCTTTCTCTCTCTCAAAAATAAATAAGCATTAAAAATTTTTTTAAAAAGTATCTGCAAAAACTCCAACTTAGAGCGGACATAGGGGTGAAAGGCTGACGGCTTTCCCCTCGGACCAGGAACAAGGTGGGGGTGCTCTCCCCCCTCTTCCGCGAAACAGTGCTGGCAATTGTGGGGTGACAGCAAGGCAGGAAGAAGGGTGAGGGCCATACAGATGCGAACAAGAGAAAATGCCTCCTTCTGCCATGATTGTCGACATAGAAATTCCTCAGCAATCTAAAACAAAACAAAACAAAACAAAAAACTACAACTAAGAAATGAGTTCAGCAAGGTCAATACACAAAAATCAATCACATTTTTTTAAGTCATCTCTATGCCCAACATGGGGCTCAAACTTAGGGCCTGAGATCAAGAGTCGCTCACTCCAGTAACTGAGCCAGCCAGGCGCCCCTCAAGCCAGCTTTATATACAAACATAGGAAAACTGAAGTACTCTTTCTGATTTTTCCAATAAAAATTACTTAATTATAAATCTAACACAATGTGTACCAGGATCTGCAGGTTGATAATTACAAAATTCTGATGAAAAAAACCAAAGGCGAGGGTGGGGATCTGGCTCAGTCAGCAGAGCATGTGACTCTTGATCTCAGGGTCATGAGTTAAAGCCCCACTGGGCATGGAGCCTGCTTAAAAATAAATTTAAAAATTGGTGCATCTGAGTGGCTCAATTGGCTGAGTGTCTGACTCTTGACTTTGGCTCAGGTCATGACCTCACGATTGGCGGGATTGAGCACCGCATCAGGCTCTGTGCTGACAGCATGGGGCCTGCTTGGGATTCTCTCCTTCCCTCAGTCTCTGCCCCCTACCCTGCTCTCTCAGAATAAATAAATAAACTTTTAAAAAATATTTTATTTTATTTCTGAGAGAGAGAGAGACAGTGTGAGCAAGGGAGGGGCAGAGAGAGAGGGAGACACAGAATCCAAAGCACGATCCAGGCTCCGAGCTGTCAGCACAGAGCCCGACGTGGGGCTTGAACCCATGAACTGTGAGATCATGACCTGAGCCGATGTTGGACGCTTAACCGACTGAGCCCCCCAGGCGCCCCTAAATAAATAAACTTTTAAGGGACGAAAAAGGACATTGAAGGACGCTCTCTCACGGTTTGGAGAGGAACTCCGTGGGCCTGGCACAGACCATTCCCCACTGTAGAGACGTGGCTTCTCTCTAATTTCAGCTATAGGTTTAGTGTAAGAAGAATCCAGCCAGCTCCTCGCAGATGTGGACAAGCTCACTCTAAATCTATACGGAAAAGCCACGTGCCTGGAGGAGGTACAAGGGGTCCCTGAAAGGGGAGGGGTCGCTGTGCCCCCGGTGGGCCTGGGAGTGGGGCGCCCAGGAGCGCACGCGCACAGACCCCCCGATAAACTCTGGGGACGGGGCGGAAGCGGTTCCAAGGACGAAATGGAACAATCAAACCTCCACGGGCAAAAACCGCAACCTCAGACCTTATACCAAAAATTAGCTCAATAAAATGTGCAACTGTAAACCTTTTAGAAAAAACATAGGAAGGTGTCTTTGTACTTGGGGTTGGGAGAGAAACGGTCACGCGTGGCACTGACGTCGTGGCGCGTGGAAGGCGAGCCTGGTCAAGCCGGCCCGAGAAGTCGCCCCGGAGCCCGTAGAATGTGAGGCTCTGCCGACACTCGGCAAAACCAGGGAGCCGGCGAGTCACCCGGGCGGCCTGACGGAACGGAGGGGCGACGAAGGTGTCCGTGACTGGGGGGCGCTCTCCCCACGCGCCGCGTCCGCCCCTCCAGCTGCCCGCACGGTGAGCCTGGGACGCGCATCGCGTCAGGGACTGGCCGGCAGTCGGCGCTGCCGGGAAGGGGCGCTGCCGGGGCGGTGCCGGGGCGGGGCGGGGCGGGGCCGGGGCCGGGGCGCGGGCGGGGCGGGGCGGGGCCGGGGCGCGGGCGGGGCGGGGCGGGGCCGGGGCGCTGGCGGGGCGGGGCGGGGCCGGGGCGCTGGCGGGGCGGGGCCGGGGCGCTGGCGGGGCGGGGCGCTGGCGGGGCGGGGCGGGGCCGGGGTCGGGGCGGGGCCGGGGCCGGGGCCGGGGCGGGGCGGGGCCGGGGTCGGGGCGGGGCCGGGGTCGGGGCGTGGCGGGGCCGGGGTCGGGGCGTGGCGGGGCCGGGGTCGGGGCGTGGCGGGGCCGGGGCGGGGCCGGGCCGGGGCGGGGCCGGGGCGCTGGCGGGGCGGGGCGGGGCGGGGCGGGCGGGTTAGTGGGGCAGCCCGGCCGCGCCCTCGCCTGCCGCCTCCTGGCGTCCTTAGTGGCAGGGCGATGCCCCCTCCTTCGTTCCTGACACCAGCGACGGGAAAATCTGGAGGAAATGGGCAAATGCCTAAGGCCGCAGGCGCCCGCAGCCGAGCACCGGACGGGCCGCTGGCGGGTGGGGAGGCGGCGCGCAAGGAACGGGCCGCCGAACGCGCGGCAGCGGCTTGTTCTCCAGGAGGCGACGCGGCGTCTCCGCGGCTGCGCCCACAGCAGGTGCCTCGAGGCGGCGGACGTGCTTCTGCCCCGGCTGCGGTGACGCGCGGACACAGGGGTCTGGAGCCGCACGCGCACGCGCACGCACACACGCGCACGCGCGCGTAGAAGGGGCATCGTGCCCGGGTCACGTTCCGCGTCTGCCTCGCTCCACAGAGACCCGCGGGGCTCTCACGGGGGGAGCGCGGACGGTACGGAGGCCCCCGGCACGTGTTTTGCAACTTTCTGTGAATATTTATATATATATTTTAAATTTTTTAATGTTTATTTATTTTCGAGAGAGACCGAGCACAAGCAGGGGAGGGGCAGAGGGAGGGAGACACAGAATCCGAAGCGGCTCCAGGCTCCGCGCCGTCAGCACAGAGCCCGACGCGGGGCTCGAACCCACGGACTGGACCATGAGATCGTGGCCTGAGCCGAAGCCGACGCCCGACCGACGGAGCCCCCCGGGCGCCCCGCTCTGTTTATATTTGTAAAGCTT